TTTTTTTTAAATGGCACAGTGCCTTCAGATACGGGTTATTATTTTTCAGTTATGTATACAGGTTGATATTTCCATTGTCTCCTATTTTTAAAGGAAACTCTGGAGAAATTTTGTAAAATTAGCGGGTTATTTTTAGATTAATTTAACTTTCTTTAATTAAATGATATAAAGAATAACTTATATCAACTTAACCGAATTTGCATGAATTTTTGTTTATTCTATATTTAGTGTGGTAAATTAATTTCACGTTATGGGGATATCTTTGGCTTGATGTGAAATTGTTGATTTTTTTGGTTGTTGAAAATGGATCGCTAATTTTGGGGGATTGTTTCGTTTGTTTCTTGATTCTATATACAGGTTGATATTTTCATGGTCTCCAATTTTCAAAGGAACTCATGTCGAAATTTTGAAAAAATATCGAGTTATTATTAGATTGATTGATTTATGTGACAAAAAAAAATTACTAGATTGATTTAACTTTCTTTATTTAAATGAAATAAAGAATAAACTACATCAAATTAATCGAACTTGCGTGGGTTACAAAATGTCTACTGGCACTGGTTGTCTGTCTTAGTTTTCTCTTTGCATGTCTGTTGTATTTGTCCCAAGTTTAGTAAAGTGAACCAATCACACGGGGTGATTAGTTTATTTTGATTGGAATTGATGGTTGTTTGGTAATTGAGTTTGGAATGGTAATTTTTGAGAGAATTTTGATTGTGAACTATGATTATTTTTATGTAGATTGTGAACTGTGAATTTTAAGTTTGATTAAAGACTCTGAGTTTTGTAGATAGATTAAGATTTTTCTAGGCACCTATTTTTAGAGCAAGCTCTTCCAAAATAGTCTACAAAAAATATTTAAGGATTATATTGATTTAAATTTCTATAATTAAAGCAAATTGAAGTTTTTTTTTAAATTAATTGGTTGGTTTATGTTGCACCGTGTCTTCAGACACGGATTGTCCCTAATATTTCTATATAATCCATCAAAGAAACAACAACCAAATTACTAACAGTTTTAGTTATAAACTTATCATGTGATACTTAAATATAAAAAAAAAAAAATTTAAATAGTTTTTTGACTAAAATTTGAGTAGCTATTGACCAAAAATGTGTAATATGTGTTGTTCTTGACCAAAATTTGGATACCTTATGATCAAAATTATGTAATTTAGGTAGTTTTTTAACCAAAATTTAGATAAAAATTTGGTCAAGTTATAAAAATTATTTTTTTGCCTAGTATCACGTGACAAGTTTAATAACAAAATTATTAACAATCTTAATGTGTCTACTTGAGGGACTACATAAAAATATGTTTAATATTTTAGGGATCAAAATAATACTATTGAAATATTAGAAACTAAAATGAGACAAATTCTCTACTACTTGGGACTTCTAATGTCATTAATCCTAATTTTTTAGACTTGTTTAAAAAATGAGCCTAAAAAACTTGACTTGTTTATATATAAAATAGTTAAACTACTTAGAATCAACTTGAATTTGGCTTGTTTTGGATTCGGTTCTTTTTTCTAAACAAGTCGAATTTAAATAATTTTTTAAGCTTATTTACAAAATTTTCAGTTCGAACTCGTAAAATTTAGCCTAGTATCAAGCCTACAAATACAAAAATTCTTAGGGGGCTCGTTTGTAATTTAAACATGTCTTGAGGTTGAGGGTATAATTGTAAATGCAGAATGCAGCTCAAATGTAATGCAACGATATCTGAGCGCAATTTGGGGCATTGCTTGATAGTTGATAACTTTCTCGGAATTAAGCTAGAATCTAAATCCTCTCTTCGGGCACACAGATTTTACGTTTCAAGGTCCTTCTGTAAACCCTAACTCTGCCTATCTCTCTCTTAACTTATTATAGATTGCTGCAGACTAACAAAACATATATGCAGTTAAACTGTTCGATGAAATGCTGCTATGTCCATAGTTCTTTCTGATTTTTTCTTGGTTGTGACAAAGCTTGGGAATTCAATGTTGCGGAAGGCAATGTGAATGGGCAAGAGTTCAAACACGCCCCCCTTTACTGAAAAAGTGAATACCCTGATGAATGATCATATTTCTGTTGAATGCTCATACACAGAAATTTCGAGATAAAATTTCTTAGTGTAAAGGATAAAAAGTGGTGGAAAATTATCATCACCTATAGGATAAATGAAATTTTTCTTCGAAGAGCGCAAAAGCGATTGTGCAAGACTGAATAGAAGAGTACCACCAAAGCCAAATCACATAACTTGAGCAAAATTATGTTATAGAATTGGATAACTTTCAATCATAACTTGAGGAAAATATATATACTCTAGAATTGGATAGCTTTCTAAAATGTTATGAGAAGCATATCATGGTTACAATAAAACATAAAAATGTCAAAAAGTAGAAGAAATTGGGTGAAACGACTTTGAAATGTTTATTTATTCTGTTGTTTAAACCCAAAAAGAAAAATATATTTTGGGGTTTATGGTCAATTTTATTGTTTTGGTTGTATCTTTGTTACATGAAGGTCTTGATTGGGGATGATCAATGTTTTCTGTTTTAGATAGGTGCTCCTTTAAGACCATTGATTGTTGTGCTCTACTGTAAGGAGTTTCTGCATAAAGTTCCAAAGTTTTTGGAACAAGAGTTACACCAAGAGTGCAGGTAGTTGTTACTGCACCAAAAGCCCATCATGTTTGCTACTGCAATTAGGTATATTGGAAAGAAGCCCAAGCCAAAGATGAAACCGATAGAGCTTAAGACGCCTCCAGAGCAAACACTAACCATCACAAGAGTTATCTTCGACGTTGTGAAGGAGCATGGTCCTCTCACTGTTGCAGACACCTGGGAACGAGTGAAGGTAGCTGCCCATTGCACTTCTTAAATTTTATATTTTTGGCATAATTCTTTTTGGCAGATGTGTAATACAACTTGGAAAATCCTTCTTTATCCACAAATTTCTTATTTAAAAAGAAGTTTAGAAGATAGTGAATGGGGGAAAAGAGCAGTAGAGGAGAATCAAGGTGTGATTCAATTCAAGGGGTCCTTTCCTGGTTTTTCTTATACAGGAACTTGTAGAGGTGGAGATCTTTGCTCATTTTCTTGTCTTTTCATATTCTATACTTACATCGTCAAGTTATTAGAGTTTGCAATATCCCTATGATTGTATACAATACATTTCAAATTCTTCAGAACTGCTTTCCTCAATCCTCAGCTAGCATCAATGCTGCCCTCCCTTTCCACGATTTTCACTTGATGAAGCAAAAAAGCGTTTTTTTATCATATAGTCCTATTGGCATCTGTCTCTTGCTAATTTTTTTGTTAGCTCAAGATACAATCTTCCTTTTTCTGTACTATTGTGCCTGGGAAACTTGAAGTGCACTGTGTTGTTCGAAGTAACGAGAGTTCCTCCACACCCCCCCCCCCCCCAAAC